CCGTCCTCTACATCCGACTCTTTACTATCGTCGACGAGTAGTTCCAGTCGTGCCCTCAACTCGGGCTCATCCACTCTGTCCATAATTAACGACCGGATGATCACTCTCTTGGACTTCACTTCATGCGTATCGAACCAATCTGTGAGTCCTTTCTTAGGACTGGACACCAGCTTCTGGAGGGCTTCTGTGGGCGCCTTCAGGAACTGCTGGATGTATTCCAAGACAAAGAGTCCGCAGTCACTACTATTGGTCTGATTGGGCACTTGTGGCGTGTAGTCTCTGAGAATGGTTTTCGACTTAAATGACAACTCTATGCCCTTTTTGGACAGCCATTCGTAGGCCAGGAATTCGCGAATAGGTAGAGACAACGGCCTCTTATAATTGGCGTTCCCTAACGAGTCCATGAATATGATGCACGGCCTATGAATGGGTGAGTGGACAGGCATTAGTAATCATTAGTCAACAAAGGCATCAATACATACATCTTGTCTGCAGACAAATCCACTTTTGGTTTATCACAAGAACTGACGGTTAAATCGTAGACCACGTGAGGGTAACAGACAATCGCCAGAAACCAATGCGACTCTTTGATGATAGGGAATATTAAGAAGTCCTTTGCAAACAGATCCACGTTTTTAGTCCACTTCTTGAGCTTTTTGTCATATCTGTGTTGAAAACTGCGTCCAAATAAAGATAACAAAAATATTAAACCAATTATTCACTCATTAATGAGAAGTAAACCCCAAACTCATCACAACTATACTTACGTATAGCTCTCATCGCTGGTCATTGAGTTTCTGGTCCTCTTGGGTCCGCGCTTTTCCGTCAACTGTATGAAGAATAATGTGTCGAAAATATGGGTCCTGTCCCTCACTTCGGGCGCCAGTATCTCATTCACATAATATCTACAAAAACACACAAACAAATCAATAGTAAATTGCAAACAAAACAAAACAAAACAAAAGCCAAACCTCAGGAAAAAGTTAACGATATTATCGTTAATAAACTCTCCTTTGTTGAGACATGAGATGTCTGTCCCCACCAGATGTATGGCATTGTGTTCGCCCTCCGGGTACGCAAATATCACAGAACTATAGGTCAAAACAAATCCAAAAATTAAATTCAATAAAATTCTAATCAATGATAACAATCGGTACTTACGTTAAGTCATCACCACCACTGGCGGCGCCCTCACCACTAGTCTGCTGGTCGTCCTCCTCATCGTCCAAATCGATGACTGTCTGCACAACAGGTTTCGCGGGACTAATCAACTGCCGGCGCCCTAACGAACCGCCTCTTGAGGTTGGCGTCGAACTCAATACAGAGCTCCGGTTGCTACGAGCGCCGGACGTTTGTGTAGGACTTGGCGACGAAAACTTGTTATTTGTGGTAATGGGCTGAGGAGTGCCGGCAATCAACCGCTCAAACCGTTGCTGTTGGGTCTGAGAGGGACCGGTAGTCTGGCGCGTCTGTGACTGGAGTAACAACAGCTTAGCCTCAGAGGCATTGACCGCATTGTACTCGCATTTGGGGTTCACTTCTAAGCACTGCTTTCTCAACAATCCGGCGAACCGTTGACTGATTTGTTCCTTCATTACGATTATCAACAGCTGTTCCCTCGGGTCTGCAGACAATGGCATCGAAACAATGGTCAATAAATAATGAATAAAACTCTTGAACACAAACCTTGCGAATTGATGTCAAAGCGGAGTCCATTGGGCGACCGGAGTCCCAAATACATGCAATCCTGGATCTTAGCGTTGGATTCCATGGTGGGCCTCACGAACACCATGGACTGGATGGGATCAGTGCACACGCGCAGGGTATGGATCTCGACGAATGGGATCATAATGTGGTACTTAAACTTGGATTGCGGACTATTGGGGCTAACGTTTGTCACTTTGATGCCATCGATGCCGAACTCAATGGTCTTAGCGGTGGTCTTATAGGTGCCGAACATGATATAGTCGGGTAGTGACGCCACCGGAAATTCGGGGCCCGGCTTACTGTCCTCCTGCACCTCGTCTAACATCTGTATATCATTGCCCGCATCACCGGTAACCTCATCTCCTTGTCTCCGGTGGTCACTAGCGTTGAGATCGCATTGTATGGCAACCGATGCCTCGTTGTCCTCGTCTTCTCTGTCGTTGATTTCGATGCACTCATTGTCTGTCGACTCTTGAGATGATGGCAACGAATGAACTGCTTTTTTGGGGACAATGTCTTCTTCGAGTTCTATTAATTCGGGATTCGAGTGATGACTGGACAGCGACTGAGTCCGCCTCTGATTCTCATTGACCAGACTTCTCAGCACATCGTTGGACACGTGGGACAGTCGACTGGCGCCTACCACAGGGCTACGCATGCGATTGTATCGATAATCGGGCAAAACAGCGCTCATCGGAAGCACAGAACCCTCGGAACGGTTGAGTCGACTGTTGGCATCACCGCTGGGATAGAACCTCTGCGTTGGAATGGCTGATGGAGTGGTCGACGACTGGAGGCGCCGGGAGTTACAGTGACCGCACTTTCCCACTATGGGTGAGGCCGAGATTTGTCCGCAATGTCGGCATTTATGCGCTGAAAATACTGTCGAAGTAGTGATAGGACTAGTGTTAGCACTGATAGCATACGGTGTCTGACTATAGGGCACTAAATGTATAACGGGTTGACCGCTGGTTAGGACTGCGCCCGACGTTTGCAGGGGTACTGGAGGTGGCGTTGCATTGATTGTATAGATAATAGGAGTTGAAGGCGAGGTTTGGTATAAAATTTTATACGTATTCATAGTCTGAGGTATGGTTTGCACGCAATTAGTGGCGAATCGGGCGCTAATACTATTGGCGGCGCCGGCGGTTGTGTTCATACCTCTGTTGTCTCTGACGGGCGACTCATTAATGCTTGTATTGGATCGACAGCTTGAGGTATGGTTTGCACGCAATTAGTGGCGAATCGGGCGCTAATACTATTGGCGGCGCCGGCGGTTGTGTTCATACCTCTGTTGTCTCTGACGGGCGACTCATTAATGCTTGTATTGGATCGACAGCTCGTATTCATGTCTTGCGGTGTCTGTCGTTGGTGTCTATTGTCTGTGGATCTACTGGTGAATGGATTGGTTGTGTGCAACCACTTCGACACCTTTGATGTCAGGTCTCGTAAGCTATGGCCGGCTTTGGTCCAGAATTTAGTGTCTGTGTTGTTGTTATTGTCGTCGCGATCGTCACCACTCGTTCCGCGAGACGACTGCCACGTCTGCCAACTCTGTCTCCGTCTCTTCGGTGGTGCGGAACCACTGAAACCCCTGTCGATGTCGTCTCCGCTGCCGTCACTCCATTCGTCTTCAGTAAACGCCAAGCGTTTCGACATAAAAGTGTTGACCCAAACCAATCACTCACTCAATGGTGATCCACACCATTCACGAGACAATCGTGTGATGGGATCTGTTCGGTGATAGTCTTCGGAATCTGTAATAAAGCCATAAAACTCTTCAGTGAAACCATTCATACAAATGAAAGACTTTAAACGCAAACCTTTTAGTCGTTTGTTGTGGTATTCAATCAAATTGATGGTCAGATTCGCGGCAACAATGAGGTGATGATATCGGGTGTATGACTGCGTGTTTGGATCCGTTGGATCAGTTATGGTGATGACAATGGATGGCAAACACTGGTTGTAAACACCAATTGTGTGTCAAATAAGTCAAGGATTGAGTGAATCGTGTGTTTCGTATGTATTGTATGCAGTGTTCAGACACACAGTCATAGAGTGCACCACAAGTGGCGCCCAATTGAAAGCAAAAGTTTGCGACAAAAACTTTTGAATCCCTTTCCACGTAGAAGTTCCCGAACTTCCCGAACCCCCAACCCTCCAGTTCCCAGTGGTCGGGGTCACTGGAGAGAGGGTTGACCACTGTATTCAAGACAATTAGCCTCAGATCCGGACAATGCTTTTTAACCTTTGAATTTCTAACACCAAAAATGTGTGTCAAATAAGTTGTGGTTATTGTCACTCATTATTAATTGTGTCATTCAAACACACTTTCAAATAATAGTAACAAAGGTTTCTCAATGGCTGTCAAGTGGTGACTACCCGCGTCTGACGGGTACTCACTTTGAAACCTCATTACAAGTGATGTCTCAAGTGGTGGACGGCATGAAACAGGACATGGAGTCGACGGGCAATCAGATGACCGACTCGTCCCCTCTATTGACCGCCAAAAGGGCTAAAGAGGTTCTGAAGGAGGAATTGACTGCCATTGAGCTGAGGATAGGAGTGGCCGTAGAGACACATCGTCAACAAGAACTGAATGAATTTGATTTACAGTTTAGACAATATATTATCCAATCATAAGACCAGAAATGCACTCAAACGCACATCCATTACAGAAACCTCCCGAAGTCGGCCACAACCCACACACACTTTACATCAATAAGCAAACAATGAATTCAATTGAATATCATATCATTTATTGTAAGTTTAGAAAAACTCAATCATAAACAGCGAACCAAATCGCGTGGTGTTAACCCTTCTTCTTAGATACACCGACAGTACGACCCCTACGGCCAGTAGTCTTCGTGTGCTGTCCTCTCACTCGGAGACTGTGTTCGCAAACAAATCACACAAA